ACCCTTTCCCATAACACGGTACTTGTAGCGCCTCCACCGGGTTGCCACTGCCTATCCACCAACGCGAGACCCACCAATTTCTTGGTCTCCGCCAGTTCGATTACAAACACCAGGTCCTGGCTCATGGTTCCCAATCGTGTTCTAATTCTCTCTGGTGCGGCGTGTTCCAGTCTTTCCCCCTGTGGACCTTTTACATGTTCATTTTTCCCCTTTCAACTTCTTTCCGATTCCATTTTTTTCCCGTCAGTTTTTAATTTCGTCGGCTTTTTGTCCTTCCACTTTTTCCCTGTTTGTATTTTATCCCTACCGACTGCTATTCCATTGGACTTTTTGTCCTTGGCACTTTTTCTGCTTCGAATTTTCTTTCACTTTTTCATTTGACTTCCTTCATTCGACTGTTTCTCTTGACACCGCCTACGACGCCACACTGCCGAATGCACAGTCAGTGATGGTATGGTGATGTAACATCTGTATAATGATGACAACCGCGCGGGGGGCCTTCGGCAGGAGCGCGCGACTGCATAGCGAATGCATAGTCGGTGGCGAGCCGGCAAACGGGCGCGGCTTTTGCACCGATAGAATCTGCAGCAGGTCACGTTTTTGGCTATTGCGACCAAAGTCTTGCGAGACCGGGTAATCTTTGATTGAATAATGGTCACCTTACATTGGGGTTGATGGCGGTGCCATTTTTACATCCGCATCTCACTTGATTGAGATGCAGGCATGTTACATTCGATATTAGTGATGACAAAACGCGACATCTGTCGATTCCCGATCGATTGATGGCGTCACTTTTGGTCGGACAGTACTGAGCTGCAGGGGTGGCGTGTAGACTGTACATGCGCCGATATCACGCGTTTGGTTTCAAAGCGTTATCTGCCTGACTGCAGAGCTTTGATGTCAACTATACGATAAAAACATGCGAATCGCCGAATCTGTGGTTTTTGCACGAGGAAAGATGCACCGCCGAACGCAATGGCCCACGATATCGCCAGTACAATTGCCTGTTATTTGCCGAGTCTAGATGCGGCCCTTCTGTTTTACTGTGATCCGTCGTTACCAAGATAGAAGCTCGGCTTTCGTCCGCCATTCGGCGATTCTTGGCAATTTGCCATGGTAAACCAATGGGATAAACATGTGCACGTCCCACACGCGACACGTCACGATGAGCAGTGTCATGTTTACCAGACTGCATCGTACCACAAGACCTACGAGGTCAATGACCTTTCAAAATTACAAAAGCATGTGAGTCTTTGCACTTGAAAGTTTTCGAAACAGGATACAAACAAGGAGCTGGTGCTCGCAAAGGATCTGGTGGAGACCTGGAATGACCAACCATGACCAACCATGACCAGAGACCAACCAGGAATGATGCTCTGGTGTCTGTGGAGTGACCGTTGAAGGTCAGGTTTTTCAGCCTCATTTTTATTTGTAAAAGGCTCAGTGAGGACCAGAAACCAAGGTGTGGTTGTTTCAACATAACCAAACGTATCCATGAACCAGGGGATGAGCTTATGAGGGAACCAGCCTGAAACAAGGATACGAACCTCCGTTTTCAGAATGAGGAGTGAGAATCAGGACGTAGGCTGCCTCTCGCCACCGCTCGTCGGGCGCCACCGCTGTAGGCTGCCTCTCGCCACCGCTCGTCGGGCGCCACCGCTGTAGGCTGCCTCTCGCCACCGCTCGTCGGGCGCCACCGCTGTAGGCTGCCTCTCGCCACCGCTCGTCAGGCGCCACCGCTGTAGGCTGCCGCTCGCCACCGCTCGTCGGGCGCCACCGCTGTAGGCTGCATCTTATTGTTGGCGTCTGGGGAGTTCGAAACCGTCCCAGAAAAAACTATAAAAGTTTTCCATGTACATAGGTGGAGGGTAACTGGGTACGTTCAATCACGTTCGATCACATTTAATCCGACGTTGAATTAGATCTGTGCCACTACTGCGCTTCGGTAATCTTGCTGGCTGGAATCAAAATCGGCCGGTGACACAGCTCATGTTGAGGAGAAGCATCTGACAAAAAGTCGGCAAATTGAAATAACGAGTAAGATATAATGAGCAAAAAGTGAGCTTGAAGGCGCATTGTATACTTTCTTGAGACAAACTGTACTGCACTCGGGAACTGCGAACAGTGCAGTTGTGCTCTTTTCATTGGAAGCTCCCACGCGCTTGAAGCTTTTTCCTCTCCACATTTTAACGAGAACAGCCAGCGCGCGAGATCCGGCCGACGACAGAGAAGACGTCCCCCACAGCGCGCCAGCCAAGCGGCCTCCCCACGACACGTCCGCCGCCCGGCCAAATGCACTATTTACATGGACAGCTAAGATCCAGATCCCCGTGCGGTCGCCTCCAACAGATAACCAGTGCCAGCATTCTGTCTGTTTTCCTCCAGTTTTGTTTTTATTTAAGTGACCATTTAACACCGCATGACAAAATGAAGCAGAAGTGACGCATGCGAATTGGGCTGACGTGCGTTTTAGTCTACGCCTCATCATGCTTCGGTAGTTTATAGATGATGTTTGGAACAGTCTGAGGCATGACAGGACCGTCAACACTGCGATTTCATCCAGCTGCACCTGCGTTGAAGCTGCTTACGTCGTGAAATATACGTTTATCCCGACTTTCCTGCTGTGAGGGCGACTACTGGGATGTGCTTCACGGCTTCCAGTCGTTAAAGGGCGGTTATATAATGCTCACCTGACGTTATTCGGTGACGCTGAGCTGGGGACACTGTATGCTGCTGCAATTCGCATCGTTTTGGCACACAGCTACGTGAACTGGCTGAATCAAAAGAGCTGTTGCATGAACTGTTTGTAGGTTGTAAGATACCCGAAGCCATAGCCTATAATTTAGTTGCGGGAACATCAGTTGTAGACTGCATTGCTATGGGCGCTGACTGACGATGTGATGTGCTAAATTGGATCTAGTTTGGGTCCAGTTGATATTACGCTCTTAATTGGGTTGCGTGTCATGAAAGGTCGCTAGGTCATGAATTTGAGTCATTAAGGTCAAACAAGTATTCATTCCTTTTTGATGTCCCCGAAGTGCCCTCTCTTACACAAGTCTTAACCTAGACAGCTTTTCTAAACAAAAGATCACTTGGATTCGTGCCAGGCCACTGACCTATTTTGAAAATTAGAAATGTTAAAAACCTTCGCATTTATGTTGCTATTTCAGTTTACGATTGACGTCGACAGCTACCTAGACGACAAATTACTGAAAAGCAAGCGGCTGATCTAGCTCGTTTTGGTTTAGTGAACGCCCTTGACCTTTCTTAAGTCCATCTTTCTTTTAGGTGGAAAAAGCCCATGTTTCGACGCCCGTGAGACCCACACATTCTAATGAGTGTCAAAAGTACCCCACTAGGTAATTTTTCCAGACAAGAGCGGTTTGGTTTGGACCTTGTTCTGACCTGCATTCCTGACAAAAGACCAATGGAGGGAGTCGCAACCTTAATGACAATTGTTACCTGTCTGATAAACAATCTCAAAGCTGTATGACTTCGTGTCACAACCCGTCGCCGAATCAGATTGAAAGGCTGCTTAGGAACTGCTTTCACTCTTAGCCATGGTCCGACTTTGACCTGCCGCAGGATGGCCATGACCCGACTTTGACCTGCCAGAGCCAGGACAAGATGGTGATGCACGACGCTTTTATGGGTTGAGCCCAGCTTTGCAGAGACGGAGCGAGTTGCAGGCTGTTGCTGTTGTTTTTTCTGTTATCAAAGATTTTACATTTGCACATCTGTAACGGAATCATTGCGGTTGTGGCTGTTGGATCTGCTATTCTGGATTGTGTTAGTTTTTTTTTTTTAGTTGAGAACCCCTATGGAGGTTTCCTAATTTATGTAATTTGTCTTTCAGCAGTTGTGAGTGATTCTGCCTGTTCACAGAAATATGTTTCAGCCTAATGTATACATAAATGTATATATATATATATATATATACATATATGTATGTATATCCACGCAAAGAGAGAGAGAGAGAGAGAGAGAAGGAGAGAGAGAGAGAGAGAGAGAGAAGAGAGAGGAAGAGAGAGAAGAGAGAGAGAAGAGAGAGAGAGAGAGGAGAGAGAGGAGAGGAGAGAGAGAGAGAGAGGAAGAAGGATATAATAAGCATAATATATATACTATATATAACTATTATATATATATATATATATATATATATATATATATATATATATATATATATATATATATATATATATGTATATATATGTGTGAATAAATAAATGTGCTCGCACCAACAGACAGAACCTCCAGTTCGCCAAAAAATCTTCATTCGTTCACCCGCTGCAGATGGTAGCATCAGATGTTGCCATTTACAACACAGAGCAGTTGTGTCCGGTGCGGTTTGGGGAAGCTGGATGTCTGACTGGATCCATCGGTATGCTGTTTTATGTGACACAAACATGAACTAAACGCAAGTCAAGACTGAAAACGCTGGGGGAGTTAAACTAACTGCCCTCAGTCACCTTGAAATGTCAGGAGCCTTGCCCCACTCCTCTCTCCTTGCCCCACTTCTCTCTCCTGGCTCCTACTTCTCTCTCCTTGCCCCACTCTTCTCTTCTGGCTCCTACTCCCATGATGTCTACACATGTCTATACATGACCCAAGAACATTTTAAGGGGGAAGGAACGCATCCCCTTTTATAATTTACACGTAATGAATGTGATTGAAAGTTGACAACTAAAAAGCCGAGATAGCCACATAGAAAAGTAAACTGAAAACGCACGATGTTGTAAGACACCGTTCGAGAGTCGTCTCGCACCTGCCATTCACACGATGTTTTTTGGTGGAACAAATTGGGCTGTGCTCCTGGACGAATGACACTTACGACGCAGTTGCACGTACGCTCTTGACGCGACTACGTCTCGTCCTGCTAGACAGACACCTAACCTTACTTAGGTTAACTGTGACGACGGCCATACATACGGTCTCACACCATCATGCGATCCCCCTACCCCACTGCGGTATACACATGACCCGACCTGGTTTGCCCTCAGGCGACGCGACACCATCATGCGACCGCCGGCCACGCTGCGGGCGCAAGACTATCAGGTATGCGTCACGGTCATCGAGGCCCGACAGCTGGCCGGTCTCAACATGGACCCCGTGGTCTGCGTCCAGGTCGGCGAGCAGAAGAAGTACACGTCCGTGAAGGAGAGCACCAACTGTCCGTACTACAATGAGGTAGGACCCCGTGGTGGTGCTCGCAGAGGGCGCAGCGCCTGATGTTGCACACGACGACAGGCACATGAGTTGCCCAAGATTTATGCCTGCTTTTGGGGTCAATACGACCGTTTACTTTCAGAGGGATATGCAAACTCACGAAGGCCATGCGTTTATGCATAGTGTCACCGACGGCGCCGGCCATATTGTCTGGTGAGAACAAGATCCGCGCGTCCATTCCAGAGACGTCATTGACGAATGAAAGCAGTCCTTATAATTCCATGAAATATGGCTAAGTGCAAGTGCTAGTGTCAGCTGTGGTAATAAACCATTCCGCTTAGTATCCGTGCGAAATTCTTCTCCCTGAAACTCATGATGTTTTCACGACACTCATCTGACGATGCGTCCAAGGTCGACGAAAGGCCTTAGACGAGTTGCGAACGTACAAGAATAAGCCTCGTCTACAGGTCGTCTTCGTCTACTTGTCAACATTATTTGCGAGGGCAAAGGGGTTGATGCCGCATCTTCCCAGCGAACATCTGTTCCGGTCAGCATATGTGCATATGTGCTGGTGCAGCAGCAGCAGCACAGCAGTCCCGGACACTATGCCATCATTTGCGTAGTGCCGGAAGACGTGTCCCAGTCACGTGTGCCCCATAATATTACGATGTACTCTTAGAGCCGCTTTACCACAAGATTTTGGAACAGCGCTTTACATTTAAGAGCCATTTAAAGGCTTCATTTTGCTCATTGAAATCCAGTCAAGTCGTCATTTACGAATTTCGCCGTAATATTTGACACATTATTCAAGTGACAAATATCTGGGTGTAATTCCATAGATGCCAAACCCCCAGGCAAACGATCGAAGAGAATTACAAAACATGGTGTTGACAAAGTAGCGAGAGCTTCAAAGCTCTCAACGTCGATCTCACTGCTGCCACCAGCTACCTTCATGAACACGAACAGGCATGGACAAACTGCTAACTTAGAACGCTTCTGAAAAGGATAGTTTTTCTGGGGGGTCCCGTCCCGCTACAATTTTCAGATGGTGTATGGCATCTGACTCCCAGGCCAGCCACGTGTGCAGGGTACACGGTTTCGCGACACCCCTCTGCATCAGCTGAGTCCGGGAAGCTCCGCATGCACCCGGATCTCCTTGCAGACGAAACTTAATTCACCGTAAGGCTGTCACCGTAACCGAGCATACTCTACCCGGATGAGGAAAGGTTACTTAAGAGGCTCCCTGGGACGTGCATGTAATGCTCGGTATAATATCGTGGAAGTTAGAAGAGCGAGTGCCTCTTCCCCGAGGATGTTCATCAAGCGAGCCCCTACTCTCCAAGTCACGTGTTTTAAAGACATGCATCATGTCGCAGGACCGCCGGTATGACCAATCAGGGGTACCATTAACGGCGTGAGGGCATCAGAGAAACATGTCGCCTCAGAGACACACCTCCCTCCCAGACAATACCAGATGGCCAACAATATATTGTCCAAAGGAAGGGAAGGTGGCGGAAGGAAAAGAATGAACGAAATAGGAGGGATTCAGGATTGACATTGCACTCGCAACAGATTAAAACTCTTGGAGGCTCATGTCAAACGTTGAAGTGTGATTTCCGTAAACTTGGTGGCGGAGTTTATATCTCTTGCAATAGTATTTTATGTGACAAAAACGTTTCCGCTGGTTTGCGTTTTTTTGGCACTAGGGTGCCTCAGCAATGCTGATTCTAGCACAATATCACGTGATAAAGATCTTAGTGGCCAATTATGTTTGAAGAAGCCGCTGAGTGTTTTTAGAAGCTTGCCGACACCACATATGAAACTTTGGACACATGATACCATTCTAAGCGGTGTTTTGTCCTCGAAAAGCGCCACGTGCTGCCAAAAAACAAGCATTAGACGTCAGCAGTGCCCTTTTAGTGCCTATTGTTTTTGGTATTCTCTTATCAATGCCACTGAACCTTGCATGATGCTTTGAGGTCAAAACTGAAATCACTGATATGTTTCCATGTGGCTGAGTGATTTGAATTGGATGCTACGAGATATATGAAAACAACATGTAAAAGAAGACTGTCCCATCCACAAAACTGAACAGGGGAAAGGGCTGCCCACTTAGCGAAGGGGGCCCACTTGGGAAAAGAGTCCCTGATATCCAACATCTATCCGATGTCCTCCGAACGGAACTTTCTGGCTGCAGGTCTGTTGAACTGGATGGTATTTGAGATTCGAGAAAAAAAGTATCGCATTAAAATTGTGTTGGATGAGACCGGATCTTAAAAATTTAATCCATGATTTTGTTGCAATGCTAGTCACCTTGGCAACGCCGTGGCTGCCGCTCCGAATACAGTTTTTGTCAGGTTTTTAAAATTCATTTTACGGAAATGACCTTAAATGACCTTCATGGCCAGTTTCAGCTCAGAGAAAAGCCGTGCAAATGTGCCCTGAACCCAACGCCACGTTGTGCCGTTCTAATTTCTCAGAAGTCCTGACTCCGGTCCTTTACCAAACAGGATTTAAGGGGGCTTTTAAGCGCCGTGATGTGGCACAGCAAGGTGCCCCTCCCCCCCTCCCCCGACACCAGTGGCCTTTTCACAGTGTCCAAATGACATTTCCCAACCAGTCCGGCTGATCAGTGCGCCCATTCTGGGATTCGTGTTCAGTGCCACTGGATCACGAGTTCGGCATCCTTCCGCTACAACGCACATGGTGAATAGTGTCAACTGATCGGATGGTGCAAGCACTAGCAATTGCCTGTGGTATTATGACAACTCTGGAACAGTTTTGTCCTCCGATATAACTTTGACCTCCGCCCCAGTCTCGAGCAAATGTTACTTTGAGTGTTCACGTGGATGTGTATATTGTTCATACTGATATAAATCATATGAGGTGTTCATGATCCGTATTGTTGCTTTTTTTGAGCATCATGCTGTACGTGTTGCACTCGGTCGGGAATAGCTTTATCACAACTCAGATCGGACAAGGGTTAGTTGTATTGCTTTGCGTGGCGATTCTGCAGACCTACACACGATGCCTGCATGTCATGCAGGTCTCCAAAATATTGTTAACCAACTGCGGATCGCGTGTAAGTGATATGTACATGTGCAAATACGTCATATGCAACCTCGGCCTTAGCGAAGTTTTACATCCATGCTGTCTCTTTCAGTATTTCGTCTTCGACTTCCACATGGCACCCACGATGCTGTTTGACAAGATCATCACCCTCACCGTGAGTGCACAGCGCTCGCCGCGACAGAGCTGCGTGACGCGCACTGACACGCGGCGTGACCCCGGCCGCGGCGTGTGCAATTCGTGGACCCTCCGTAACGGGCGTCCGCGCCCCGTTCCGGCGGCTCGCCAGGGGGGGGGGGGGGGCGCTTTCTTGGGAGCCGGCGTCGAGGGCGATTGGCCTGATTGCTAGAGAATGCCGGTGTTACATAAGCACGGCATCAGCCGATGAGAGGCAGCGCTTGGGGGTTGGACGTCCTTAGATCCCGGACGAGATGCCCGTCGATTGGTAATTGTTCCAATGATGACCAGGGGCGCAGGCAGGGGAGGGGCACAAGGGCATGGTCCCACTCCGTAAACTCACAGAGCTCTTTAAATTCCTCGGAACTGACGATCAAGGGCACGATTGGGAAGCCCGAACGTCGCGAAGGACTGACCGGAGGTCGTAATAAGCTGTCCCGGCCCGGAGGTCACGGCTCTTGATCGTCACTCAGAGAGTCTATTGCGTGGCGTCACGACATAGGTGCCACTGCAGACAGTGCTGCAGACGGAACTGCGACGGCATTAGTTGAACGCCACGTTGCTTCTGCGAATGCTTCAACAATCTCTACTTCTACGCGACATTTCCTCTGCGGTCAACACCTGTATGCGACATTAGTACCATGCGACAAAACTAGCTTCAATAGTTATCCCCGTCGAGACTTCTACTAACTTTCAGGCACAGGCTATCTCGCCAAAATCCTAGAGGTAGTCTACACCTGAAAGCATGTGGACAGGCAAAGTCAGCACAGAGATGGCCGCGTCATGGTGTTACAATATTGCACGGTGCAACATTACTTGTACCGCAAAAATTGCTACGACTTAGGGTCAATACTTCCTCGGCCTTTACGGATAAGCGATGCAAAACAGATTGACATTATGATGTAACGCAAAAAATTGCTAACCGTTCGCATCGCCACCACAAGCTTGCCATTGCATCATCGTTCAGTGGGATTGTCCCCTCCCAGCTGCCAAATCTTTTCTACGCCGGACTGGGTATCCACGTATTTTGCCATCTACGGCTGTGTTGTGGCAGTGCGCGATTTTACCCGAGTTCATGTCGCCTGCCATACCAAGAACCCCTCGGCTTAGGAATGGACATAATATATATATATATATATATATATATATATATATATATATATATATATATATAGGCTGGAATAGGCTGGGGCAGAAGTCAAAGAAATCACACCCTTTACATGGTGTGATGGGAGGAGCGAAGCAACCCATGTGCTGCAATGTGTTTAACACTGTGCGAGTTCTGCCGGGGCTTAGCCTCTTTCAACATGTTTTTGAAAATGGGAGGGGGGAGAAAGGTGTGCTTCCATCTACATGTAATCTACACGCGTGCATATATACGTATATATATATATATATATATATATATATATATATATATACACATATGCATTCTCATTCTCAGTCATCTGCATTCAGGAAACATACTTTGAAAAAAATGGTGTCAACAAACAAAGTTCAGCGCTTACGAAACCTTGAAACTTGCAAGATTGACGGCTTGACTCTTAACGCAAGCATTGCCAGTCAAAACTGTCTCACAACAGCATAGCAAGACAGCATTTCCCGACCTAACACGCAACATGACCAGATACAGGTCATAAAGAGTTATATCATGTTGTACCGTATCGAAGACTAAGGAATGAGGCCAGAACAGAAGACATGACAGGTGCGGGACCGAAGACAGGGAAGAAGACATTACGTAAGGCAAGGCAAGGGATAGGATCGGGGACGGACCAAGACGCAACAGGACCCCAGCAATCGGCGCATCCAAAAACCCCAATAATCAGCAAAGGAGACATACCAAAGAACTGCTCAAAGAACAGCACGGGATTTGGACATGGAACTGGAAAGAGGACTGGGAACAAAATGAGGATAAAGGTCAGGGCAAGTCTGGAAATAAAGAGATCGCGGAATAGAGCACAGCTCACTGTCCTCTGCCTCACCCCACGGCGGGACAGATGGCAACACAGTGCAAGACAGGACAGCACACAACAGCACATAGCACAGGGCGTGACATTGGACAGGGCAGGACAGAGGACTGAGCGGGACCGAAGACAACGCAGAGCAGTGGGCGAGATATGACGAGGGACAGTGCAAGATAGAGGAGAGGGAATGGACTAGATGACCCCCTTCCGCTTTCAAACTAAGATAGAGCTAGGCAGAAACCAGCAGTGGATTGGTCTCAACGGTCTTGAGACTTTGTCTGGAGGTCTCAAGATTATTAATGACTTGCACGCTGCAATTCGCATGTTGAATAATGATTTCCATGGTGTCAGGTTAAAGAAAAAGTTTTCCGAAAATCGCCTTTACATGCTCACATCTACGAGGCCATACCTTGTACCGACACCAAACCTAAACAGGCATAATCCTAGTCCCTTAACCACAGGTGTATAGTTTGATATGCTTTGGGAATATGTTTATGATGGAGTGTTCCGTTACGGTCCACATGGGAACCAGCCGCGAGTGGCCCGTGAAATCGTCGGGCGCCGCCGGGCGCCTGCTACGGCCGCCTGCACAGGCCGTAGATCGCCGTGCAATGTTCCTCAGAAACCGTCGCTGCTCGGAAGCTAGAAACGATAGGGACACGTCTTTGGTGTCAAGAAACACGCGCAATAGATGTCCCACAGACAACTAGAAAATCCGGCGCGTTTGCTCGATATGCTGGAGAGGTATCCCCCAACCAGGAGGGGGGAGGGACCTGAATTATGATTTCTTTCTTTACAGGTGCCCTTGGATTTAGGTACCCCTTGAGATAGAGATCATGCGGTCAAAAGGGAAGGTTTAGTGTCCATTCGTCTAAGGAGCTGTTCCAAGATATTTGTAAGGGACAGACATAGATTTGTGGTGCTCCGAAAATGGTGCCTGTTGAAATAAATGTTATAGCGCCCCAAAAGGAGGGTTTGGTGCCCCTTGGCTGAATGAACCCGTCCAAAAATTTGTCAAAAGAGAGGCACGTACGTTGCGGTGCCCGGGGACTTGATTCATCTCAAAAACGGAAGTTGTCAGTCCTTTGTGATGCCCCTGGACTTTGGTGTTGCCTGAGCATACATATTATGGGGTTCCGAAGGGATTGGTGCGACTTACAAACGACTTTGTGGGCTACTTTCGCGGTCCCACAATCTCATGGGTGTCCCCCAAGGAGAGAGGGGGGGCGGGGGAGCACAGCCACTCACTTCTTCCTTGAATTCCGCCCTGGATGGTGCCGTGTTGAAATGCTTGCATTTTTCAGGTGCTGCAATCGCGAAATATTCTGCGTGCCAATAAAGTATTGGGCAGTTTCAAGCTGGACATCGCCACTGTCTGGGCTCAAACAGGTGAGACAGTTCACCCCATCGCCACTGTCTGGGCTCAAACAGGTGAGACAGTTCACCCCATCGCCACTGTCTGGGCTCAAACAGGTGAGACAGCTCACCCCATCGCCACTGTCTGGGGCCAAACAGGTGAGACAGCTCACCCCATCGCCACTGTCTGGGCCCAAACAGGTGAGACAGCTCACCCCATCGCCACTGTCTGGGCTCAAACAGGTGAGACAGCTCACCCCAGCGCCACTGTCTGGGCCCAAACAGGTAAGACAGTTCACCCCATCGCCACTGTCTGGGCTCAAACAGGTGAGACAGCTCACCCCATCGCCACTGTCTGGGCACAAACAGGTGAGACAGTTCACCCCAGCGTTACCAGGTGGCGCCACGCACCTGCGCGTGACAAGGCCTTCACTTTGTCTCCATGTTATGATGCTGTTCCATAGTGACCCGATGCACATCTTTACGAACTAGCTTACTGACATTTCTCTTGCTGTTTTTGTGAACTGTTCTTGCCAGCACCGTTTTCAGTGGTCAATACACTAAATGTATTTCATTGGCATGTAGGACGTCACCCATGCTATGTGCCTGCCATGTCGTCATTCGTATGCTTTACTAAACGCAGACTCTGCAATCATGTGGGAAATGCGTGCAGTTAAGAACTACTGTTGTTACCGGATTTTAAGGGCGCGTCCACTAAGGTTTAAGGCACTTTAAGGGCGTGTAAGGCTGGTTTATTTGTGCCCAAAATTTAGAACTATGGTGGCAACCATCATTATACTTGCATACTTTGGATCTGAAAACATCTCGCATTTTGGTTTTTCATGCGTATTTCGAATCCAAATCATGTCACAAAGAGACATGGAATGGGAATATTCGGTTGAAGGGTCTGAAAGGCCTCATTGTCAGGGTTCGAAACGGTACGATTCACTCGTCATATCCCTGTTAAGCACACCACTTTATCACACAATTACCTGCACTATTTTTCATCAGCCTCTTCTGATAAGCTGTCGACCGTTAAATGCATATTATCGGTAAACGAAGGAAACCATCATCGCTATCACCAAGCGTCAAATCTTAAATGGGATTTTTTTACAATTGTATAGAAACTCGGCTACTCGGCTCTGTAGCTTGGCCTTTTAGCAAACCGAACGAAGCATTGCTGCAACATTTATGAGGCGCTGAAGTTAAGTAAACTCGAAACGCATAAGCCAGCAATTAGCAAACACGCACTGTAGGCATGGGTGGACAAATTACATTCGCTGGGATTTCCGTGAAGGAGTGGAGTCCGCTCCGATGGCACCAGCCGGGTGATGTTTGACGAGCGGCTCCCCTGAGTGTTGACCGAAGAGCTCGCCAGGGTTTGACGAGCGGCCGCTCTGAATGCTGGCTGAGCAGCGCGGTAAGGTTTGACGAGCGGCCCCTATGAGTGTCGGCTGAGGAGCACGGTCAAGCTTGACAAGCGGACCCTCTGAGTGTCGGCTGGGGAGCACGGTTAAGCTTGACAAGCGGCCCCTCTGAGTGTTGGCTGAGGAGCACGGTTAAGCTTGACAAGCGGACCCTCCGAGTGTCGGCTGAGGAGCACGGTTAAGCTTGACGAGCGGACCCTCTGAGTGTCGGCTGAGGAGCACGGTTAAGCTTGACGAGCGGACCCCCTGAGTATCGGCTGAGAAGGGCGGTTAAGCTTGACAAACGGACCCTCTGAGTGTTGGCTGAGGAGCACGGTAAAGCTTGACAAGCGGCCCCTCTGAGTGTCGGCTGAGAAGGGCGGTTAGGTTTGACGAGCGGCCCCTCTGAGTGTCGGCTGAGAAGGGCGGTTGGATGACGCAGCATGATGGAGCTCTGGGACAGCGGGCCAGCACTAGAGAGCGGGATCTTGGCAGGTGGAGGACACGAAAGGCGGAGCCTTCGTCTCGCCATGGTGTTTGTTCTGCTTTTGGCTGCATGACGTCGCACTGCGGCCTGTTCTTTACGGCTAGACCGGTAGTTTATTCATCTTGACCTTTTACGAAGCGAGGAATGCTCTCTTTGATTGCCCACACGGTAGCTCTCACCGGGACCATTACGAGCACCACGACTGAAATTGAAGCAGACCGGTATGAATGATGAAATTACTAGTTAGGGCAGCAATGACAACTTCTGGCGTTTTTTTCAGCAAGGCCTCAGTCTAGCTCGGTGTAACATTACGACCAAATTAGGAATTTTTGAATTAATGGTTGAGGGTGTAGCATCCATAAAGTATCCATCACACCCATCCATCTTACCAACATATCACATCAATCTATCCATCTCGCGAGATGCGATAAGGAAAGACGCCGACGAGGAATGCAAGGCTAGAAAGGAGTCTCCTCGCAAAGAGTTTCTACACTGACCGTGATGGCGTTTAAACTAGCAACGAGAAGCAACCGGATTTCAGTGTTTTTAATGAAGGATCCGTGTCAACCATGCATCAGTTTCGTAACTTGTGCGACTTGGTCATAACAGGCTTTTATGCAAATGGGCAAATCAAGCTCCAGTCCTTTGTCCCCTTTTCGAAACCGACATACGTTTGTCAGTCACCCGGTAATGCCAAAGCATCCACATGAGATTACACAGCGACAGCACTGTCAACCAGCCTTGTCAGTAGCCGTCATAAATTGTGCTGAGAGGAAACCACGCACCGAAGGTATGATGCGACGTAGACAATTATGTAGAACCCTCTCATCGGTGCCATTGACGTCAATGAATGGGGGCTTTGGCGGTGCTTTGCATGACGCATATAAGTAGGAGCTGCATGTATGCAAGCGATTCAGTCGTTACTTGTTCAGTCGTATTATATTTTATTGTATATCATATAGAAAAGAGAGGCAAAGAAAAGCAGGGGCAGATGTGGAAAGATAGAGGCAGAGAGCAAAACAGAGACCAAGACCGAGACCGAGACCGAGACCGAGACCGAGACCGAGACCGAGACCGAGACCGAGACCGAGACCGAGACCGAGACCGAGACCGAGACCGAGACCGAGACTGACACGGAGACCGAATTGAATAGAGATATACGCATAACAAGATAAAGGCAGCCTAATACCGAGACCATTACAGACAATTGAGTCGAGAAACAGAGACAGTGAAAGGATCAGAAGCAATAGTAGATAAGAATCAGCAGCGCGGCTAAAGCGCGGTGGCATAGAGGCACACATCGTAGCTGAAGCATGGCGCTGGAGAAAAAACTGGGCACGACGGAAGGCAGCTGAGTTGATGAGACTTTGGGGTTCTCAGTGAAACTAATGCCTGTCTGGCGAGGGTGCACACCGTAGAGCCAAAGCGTGTCCAATCACAGTTGGTGTGACTCACCGATATATATCATGCGCCACACTCAGCTGACGCTGGACTCCGTGTGGTAAATTCCGCAGAGCCGGAGAAGTCGCCGCATATTTTAGTGCCTGAGGCCACGTCTTGGAAAATATACGATGCGAAGATGGGCACGAGGTTCGCCCCTGCCCTTGCTCCTGGATGCAAAGTAGCGGCATATGTAGCTACTCAGATCTTACATGGCACAAAACACAATTCATTCATTGTCTTAAAAATGGATATCCAATGAAGGCGAGCGCTTCCGACACTCCGACGCCTGCTCGCACTTTACCACTTGGTTGATGACATGAGACGCCGTCTTTGCGCTACAGAGTAAAAGTGGGGCGTGTTGGACGAGATCTTGAGCAGTGCCATATCATGCCACCCATGCCATCTCCGGGAGTGGCCCTTATGAGCGAAGTGGCGACAGCGTTAGGTTCATTACTTCAGACGGCCTCGGAACCTGGGCCTCTTCTGTTTTCCCAGAAGAATGCGCCCTTGTGGTGTCCTGTTCAGTTATTGGCGTTTGGATTCGCCTTCGTGGCTGAAATATGCAGCGCTGCCCACTAATGTGCGAACTACAGTCAGGCTAAGCCCACAACGTCGAATGGAGAAGGTGCTCAACATATTTCCGATCGTGTTCTGTGGACCTGAAATGGTACAGTGTGAGCTCTGTTGGGTCGTTTGCAACGCTGCCCAAACATATCAGTCACATTGCCATAAACAATGAGTAATGTTAACGGCGCGCGTCAGAGCATAACAGTATAACTGAAGTGGAAAATGCATCACAGCTATTTTTAAAGGGCTTTAATGGCGGGGTAGCGGGCCTCTTTTCTCCCCGATGCTACTTACTTTGCTGGCAGCCCTACTCAGTTGGTTTCTCAGTTTTGTGCATTATTTTGGAATACACTTGACCAGGCGGTGCCCATTTGCCCATATGACCGTTTTGCGTTAAGTGATCCTGACAAAGTGCTGATGCATAGAAGATAGTGGCTTTCAGGCATCTTAGGCTACAGTGCACTGCAAACAGAGAGACACAAACAAATGCGACGAACACAGAAGATTCCGAGTGTTTAGCTTCCCCGGAGTCCGGGGTACTCTGTCCAGTTTACAACGCATCGATTAATTCTGAATGAATGGGAGACTGCGGGCGACTTAACATGGTGGTGGACGTTTGGCAGGACAAGCCCAGGGAAAATCATGTAGTAGAATGGTCGGTGGTATTCGGCACTAATATCATTAAAAATGACAGCACTGATTGAGGTGGGCTTTTGACATTTGTGACAAGCGTTTTGCAGACATCGTTGTCGTTAATGATGAGCAATTTCAGGGAAATAATCTCTACGTAGTCTGCGGCTCAGCAAGCTTTACTCTGAATTTAGGACCGTGTCAAAATGAGAGCCCTGCGTTAGACAGGAGAAGCAAAATTTCGTTAGACGATCTTGGAGAAAATGAAATTCTCCGTCCAAAATATTGGTCCGTTTTGGGAACACGGTTTTCGTTACGCCGGCTTATTGAAGCCTGCACCGGCTGCACGGTGTGCAGTTTGTGGCCAGGTGGGCAGTACCGACTCAGTCTTCCATCACTTGGGAGACGAACTGAGAAGGCGATACGCGCTGTCTTCAATTGTGATGCTTCCCCGATGTGTACTGTTGTTTTAACAGCTCTGTTCCCACCTGCTTTCTGTA